GTGAGAATCACAGTGAATGAACTTTATAATTGTATAGTTAATTAGCTTCAGATTTTTCAATAATTTGCAAATATCTATAATTTAAAAATACAAAATATTGATTTCAAACACTGATGCCAGAACTCAGATGACAGAATCCAGAGTTCATTGTTTTGTACACGATACAGCTCATACTAGTTGGGGAAAATATATGTTATTCAGAAGTTATTTGGTGTATTTAGTAGTTGTAAGTTTTCAGTAATTCTTTTATAAAAATAGCATTTAATGCAGTCAAAAACAAAAAATAAGTTTAGCCATAGACAGAATAAGTTGTATTACAATGGATAAGTTAGTTTATTAATGTTTTTATTATATTTTTAAGGTACGAGATGATGGTATTGTTCTTCGAGGTGTAACTGGTACTGTCAAAAAACGCTGGTGGTATGAACGACTGGTAAATATGACTTATAGTCCAAAAAATAAAGTTCTTTGCTTATGGAGAAGAGATGGAGGTCAGACTCAACTCCATAAATACTATACTAAAAAGGTAGGTTTTATCATCCTTTTAACTTGATGATTTTATTAATAATCTTTTAACGTTTTCTATCTTGAAGCCTGATTGTTTTTTTCAGCATCTAAATGAATTGGAACTAAAATACAAGTAGAAATAAAAGCTTGCCATTAGTTCATCAAAAATGGCATAATTTGTTTTTTATATTCTTGGAAATTATGTTAAATTATTTACAAACATGTTGATCAAGCAGAGAATAAGAAATTTAAAAATGTCACCAGACTTATTATTCTGCAAAATTAGTGGAGTAAAGCATGTTCATCAAACATTATATTTCATAAGAAATTTTCAATTAGGAAAAAGATCTGAAAGACACAATCCACAGTAAAGCTGTGAAATCCAAACTCAGTTTCATGTAAATTGTAACCATCAAGAACATGAGAGAACTTGTACTGCACATGCCCATGTTGCCATTCTTTGATATCCAACAATAAAATAAAATTAAAGCTTTCAGACAATGCAATAATGGTTTTTATAGTGTTGTTAGAACATGTTTTTTTTAACTGTCTAGTCTGTTTTCCAATTATTATAAAAGAACATGAAAAATATAAGAAACGTAATTTACAAGTTGTTTGGCTTAGGAAGGTCACATCTAATAGAAATAACCTACTTCAACTGAATCAGATGACCTTTTAAATGGTAATATCATAATTTTGATACTATTTTATAGTGATTCTAAAAACTGATATATATAGTTCTGCAATCATTTTAAGGAAGATTATACTTTTTGTGTTTTGAACAGTTTAATTTTAAATATGGAATACAGAATATTGAAGGACTTAAAAAGATTTGGAATATTTTATATTTACTTTTGTTTTACAAAATCAATTTTTTTCTATGATTAAAGAGGTATTTACAAATTGAAGATAGAAACTTAAAACTCTTGTGTGTAAATGCATGATGATTGTAGACGGGTGTTCTAATACTCACCTTAAATTAGTTTTGTTTTAAAACAGTGCCGAGATTTGTATTATTGTGTGAAAGAAGCAATGGAAAGAGCTGCAGTTAGAAGTGGTGGAGTACTGCCTGGTAGGAGAATATTTCATACATTAATATAAATACACTTGCAGATTTAATTGTTCATGTATATATATAACATGTTCTATAACATAATTACTTCAGCCATGTTGATTCATACATTGAAGTCCTACACTTTAACCATAAAAGGCTGTTTTTAACAGGCTTTCAATCAAATACTGTTTGAAGCATGATGTTTATTGTGGTATTTATATATTTGCATTACTATCCTTAGCATTTGAGATAAAATAACCATTTAAAAAGTTAAGTTAATATTTAAAAATTGTTCCTTATTGTGTTACATAGAATGTTGTGTTTTTGTCACATTGTTACTGATTGTTTTTATTTTCTTATTCATAAATTATTAAACACAATTATATATTGTATAGTGTGTTATTAAATACAGTTATATATTGTAGTGTGTGTGTTTTTTATTGTAAAAATAGTCAGACTTCATTTAATATATTAACTGTATATTTTATTGCATTGTAGGAGAGTTTCTGTACACATGTTAGAGAACTCTTTGTGTCTTTTATTGCATAATATAGATGAATACATGTACTTTCATGCAATATCAAACACTGCGATGGTAGATAGGATAAACACATTTTGCTGTGTTGAGTGTTGTTACAACCATAGGTATTTCTTTTATAAGGAAAATTCACAGATGTGACAGTTTCATCTATGTAAGTAGTTTAATCTCAACAGTCTTATTGTCATTTCACCAGTTAATAATAATAGTATGATAGTAAAAGCATAATGATGAAAACTATATACATTTCTTCTGTTGACACCTGTCAGTGTTTCAAAATATCTTCACACTTTCTTACTTATTTGTGAAAGATACATAATTATCTTAAACAATTTTTATTGAACATAATAGGAACAGAACTTGGAGGAGAATTTCCTGTTCAAGACATGAGAACAGGAGAAGGAGGATTGTTACAAGTGTGTATGGAAGGTATTGGACTGCTTTTTGCTAACAGCAAGGTAAACTTTTTCATCAGATATTCTTGAACTTGTTACTGTGTGTTTAGAGTTAAGGAAGTTTTAAGATAAACGCTTTGCTTTTTATGTAAGAAGTTTTTCTTTAAAACTTGCATGTATAATAGGAAAAGTAATTTATTTTTTCATGGTACAGTGTTTATAAGCTTACAGAGAAAAGTCTTGACATTAAAAAACAACTTTTATGCCATTGAATTTTTTTCAGAAAATTAAGATATACAGGAAAAACTTATTTTCATAAAATATAAAGTGATTGAACAGTGTGGGAAATAAAATTCATCATTGCATAAACTTTGTAATATGCTAAGTATTATTTTTTTACTGTGTTCGTAAATTGTTTTTCTGAAATCATTTAAGGAAGAAGATTATTTGTTTTTAAAGGTCTTTAAAAATATAGCACTTATGAGCATCAGTTTCTTGTTATAATATTTTAACTGTATTTTTCATATTATTGCTTTTCATGTCCATATTGAGGACCTTCTCAAAACTTACCTCTTGCTTGCTTGTCCCTCCAGTGGTGACATGACAGCTCAAATCTGTTAACCAATCGGTTTATTGGTCAATAAATGTTAATTCTTGGTATTGTGTGACTGATGCCATGCCCTCTGCATCGTACAAAATGCATTATGTCACGCTATATGTACCTGTGGTATGTTGGAATTCCCATAACCCTCTAGTTCATTTTTAAAATTCATTGGACCCGTTATTTTAAGATTTTAACTTTTCTTCACAGTATGTACTTGTACTTCTGCATGTATATCTCAATTTGTCTTTCTGTCCCTCTCTTTCTGTACGTCTCTTCTAGAGATATGGCTTTATCTGATACTTAAACATCCTTAACCTATCTCTGATGCCTCAAGCAGTAGCAAGCGAAGGGGCTTTTGAGATGGTCCTAAGTCATGAGGTTAATATGGTCGTAAGTGTAATTATCCTCTGTCAGTTCCGTTATTATAAAAATTGTGTTCCTGTTTTCTTCTTTCTTTTCCATCTTCCTGCTCACTTCCACACTGAAGGAATTTGAGGTACAGAGTCTTTTATTCTTGCTGTTTAGAACTGAAGCTTAGAATTTGTCTTTCCACTGTTACAGTAGTGGTGCACCCTTTTTTAGATAGATATATGAGGTGCCTACATTTACTTATAAAGAAATAAAAGAAAAACAGTGGTACCTACAAAACTAAACAATATTAGAGAAAAAAAATTGTATTTCTCACCAGAATATAACAAAGCAGTGCAGTGGTTGGCCTTAGTCACGCATGATTTTGTTATTTGAGTTTATACATATATATATATATAATATATATTGTACCATGATTTGATTGATGTGTTACTGACCATCTCCAAAAGTTTCCTCTTGCACTGCTATGGCATGTTCTGTTTTACACTTAGTTCTTTATTGTCCCTGCATGTTTTTTTTATCACATATCCCACCTTTAAATATATATATTAAACACCAAGCAATGCATGTTTCTTTTGTTTTCATCACAAAACAGTGATTTGAAGCACATTTTATTTCATCTAATTTCCTTAATGCTATTTTTTATGGTAGATATATAAAGTTTTCTTGATTTGATTAGCTAACTTAGATGCTTGAATATATAGTACATGGAAATCCAGTCATGTTTTAAAATTGTATATATATATTATATATATATATATATATATGAATTGATTTTGCATTCATAAATATAAGTAATTATGCTCATATAATTGTAATTGCATAACTAAAAAAGATTTGAGATGTTTTGAAGCACTTACCTAAGATTGTCAGCTTCTAGTCTATTTATTAATTACTATTATTTTAAATATTCGCTCTATTGTTAGTATTTTTACATAAGATGAAACTGAAGTCAATTCATCAATAGATTCATTAGGGGAGTTCAAACACTTGCATGCTAGATACAAGACTTATCATTTATTAAAGATTTCCAGTTGGACATTCTTAGTAATAATATTCAGAATAAGTCACAGCATAATGATAAAACAAAACATGAAAGTAATAACAGGAAGCATTTAATAACCATTTCGGAATTGTCATAATTCCATCATCAGTAAACTAGAGATACAAAACAAACAAACAATATTTTTAATTACAACAGAAATATATATATACATAAGAAATAAACAATTCAAATATTCAAATGTAACACGAGAAAATGAAAACTGAGGCACAAGTGAAATAGTTCAAATAGGTTTAAATCCTGTGAAGACTGTGTGTTATTTAGGGACAGAAGAAGAATTTTTTATCTATAATGTTTCTTTTAAAAGAAAAACTCAAAGCAAGCTCATATCATTAAAATATTTATCAAGCCTTCCTTTAAAGTCATAAACTGTCCTCGTATGAGGACATAACCATTCCATCCAAGGTATCATTCTAGCAGCCCTCCTGTGAACCCTTTTCAACAATTCAAGGTCCAAAATTTAATCATAATTCAAATTGTGATAACCCACATGCATTACCTTGCATTTTTTATAATTAAAAGCTATCTGCCATTTATTCACCCAACTCACCAAATGATCTATCCTTTTGTAAAGCAGTAACATTCTCCTCATAAACAGCAACACCCAAAACTATAATATCAGCAACAAATTCAAATAATTTATTAATCATTTTTTCATCTATGTCACTGTAAATCAGTAAGAGCAAAGGTCCTACCTATCACCGAGTCCTGAGGTACCCCACTTAAGACATTAACCCAGTTTGAATGAGCTCAGTAACTCTCTGCTTTCTTCCATCTAGCCAGTTTTCTATCCAATGAGCCAACCTGTCCTCTACACCTATGGAGAATATTTTTTTTAACAAGCCTTTTATGTAGCACCTTGTCAGTTGCTTTCTGAAAATCCAGATACACCACATCCACACCCACCCATACCCTCATCAACATAAGCAGTAACCTCTTCAAAGAATGTCAAAAAATTAGTAAGACAAGATTTTCCTTTAGTGAAACTATGCCGGTGCTATCCAACAAAATTTTAAACTTTGTTAAATACTTTGCAAAGCATCTTTTATCAGACTTTCAAAAACTTTTCCCACCACTGATAGGACAATTTTTATCACCTCCCTTGAAAAGATGAGTAACATTAGCCAACTTCCAACCTTCTGGCACCTGCCTACTATTCAAGGACTTAGAAAAAATAATAGCAAGTGGCTCACATACCCAATCCTTAACCTCATTCAAAACCACTTGGGTAAATATTATCTGGTCCAGGAGCTTCATCATTCTTTCAACTTCTCTATTTATTCTTAACAAGCATAAAATTAATGTGATCATCATGTTTTCATCTAGCAACTGTTAAGGTTGAGGAATATTGCTTAAACCTTTATTAGTAAAAACTGAAGAAAAGTAGAATTTAATACATACCTCAGCCATCCTATAATCGTCAAAATTAGCCATCTGTATCATCCACCAAAGGACCTACTTCAGTCCTGACTTTTTTTTGAAGAAATTCTTATTATTTATTTTTACATTTTCAGCCAACATTTTATTATATATTTTTTTGATTTTCTAATTTCCTGTTTCATCAACTCTCTCTTGATCTTTTATAATTATCCAAGTCTTTTATCATTACAGTGAATTTAAACTTATAATGCTTTTTTTTCTTTAATTTTGTCTTTCATATTCTTTGTGTGCCAACCTGATTTTTTACTTGCAGCAACTCTTATTTGTGTATAAGGATTTGCCAAAAATATTAGCAAGTGGCTTACATATCTAATTGTTAACCCCTTTCAAACTTCAAATGATTGAGGAAATATTATCTGGCCTTGGAGCCTTATAATTTTTTAGACTTTCCAACGTTTTCTTAACAAGTTCATATTCTTCAGTTTTGTTTCCACCTAGCAGCTGGTCAAAATGAGGAAAGCTAATACTAAGAATTAAGGCTCTTTTGTATCCATAAAAGCTGCAGAAAAATCACATATCATTTATGAAATCTATAACTGTACATTAAAGTGATATAAATCTTTGTTATTTATCAAATCAAACATGGTTGAAAAACACCTAAAGACCCAGAACCTTCTGTGAGAATTACCCTTCTGTATATATATATATATATAGATTGACATTTTCATTTAGGAAATTATGAGGCACCTTTTTAGAAGCTTAGCGTGGATTTAATTTCCAAATTTATTCAAGGATCCTAATATTAACATTAAATAAGCAAAAAACGAAATCTCATTATTCCGTTACTCTGTGTCTAATTTATTTTGTAATGGCTTTCATAGATAACTGTTGAACAACATAGAGCATAAATAATGCAAACATTTTCACTTTATCTTAACACTTTATACTTATAACTATTTTTTCATAATTTAAATAGACAAACTGGTTACAGTTGTTCATTTCATGGTGGTTTTTCAAATCTACATCTAATTTTACTTTTGGTGTCTTTATGATAGCTGTCACCCAAACTTTTGTCTAGAACGAATACCATGACAATTATATTTAATTATCAGCAGTACTTTTACAGAGCCATTGTTATGTCACACAACCTGCATACAACCTCAGTATTATGTCACACAAGCATTGTTAGGGCATACAACCTCAGTATTATGTCACACAAGCATTGTTAGGTCATACAAATTATATACCAACTTCATTTTTAGGTCATACAAACTGCATACTTTGTGTAAAGATCTTTTGTTGGTTTTTTATAATGTAGAAATGTTTGCTCAGAATTATAGATGATATTTTTTATAGTTTGTTTTATATATTCCTTTTATATTGTTTTCTTTAAAATATGTAAGTGCTTATTTTCCTCAGTTTTTAGTCATGTGAATGGATTTTTTAAACACAGCTGGTATTTTCAGTTTTAATATGTTTAAAGCTTTTTTTTTAATTTAAAATAGTTCTTTATTAACAAGAGATTGATATTGATAAACAAAATTTGAATTAATTATAATGCAAATTTTTGAAATTCTGCATATAATTTCAGGAGCTGTAGTTTGAATTTAAATATTTTTATTTTCAGGTTTGTGTGTCTTTTTGAAAGAAGACGTGACTTTTATATAGTATTTTAGTTTTGTTTCTAAACTGTAACGTGAGATTGTACATCTGCTACATTTGAATAGATCTGTGTTAAGACTAAAGATAATTATCCTTTCTTTCATATAAATAAGCATATATGTATGTATGTAATTACTTTTACAGAAATTTTCTATATTGTGAATGTCTTTTGTAGAAAAAATATACTTATATGAAATATATTTTACTTTGTCTCAAAATTGTTTAGTGTTTTTATATAATTGCTGTATGGGACTTGCAGCTTGTTTTTGATTGATTCATGTGTACAATTTTAGGATGCAATGTTTATATAACCCTTGCTTCTTTTAGAACATCAATACCATACTTGCATTATTTGATGTTTAATTCATAACCTTGTTAACTCTTATCAAGTGCCACTAATTAACAGTGCAGGTAAAGTAAAATGTAAATGTTCTTTTGGAATCCCCTGTTACATCAGTTTTTTACTTTTTTTTATTCTAGTTCTTTGTCAGACTTGAAAACATCAGAAAATGCTTTACTCAGAAAGGTGGTATATTCATCTTAGAGGAATTCAGTGAGTTGAATACACCATATCCTAGTGTTTAAAACCTATAGGTCCACGTACAGTCCAAAAAGTTTTATTTCATCAGTAAATGCTGCATTGTACTAAGGTTGTGAATAACATCATTAAATATGATAAATAAGAGTTACCCAGCTGAAAATTCTACATTTTTGTTTGTATTTGTGTATGTATGTATTTTAATTTGTTTAAGATAAGTGAAATTGTGGATGTTTGTTTGTTAGCATAACACAAGCCTGCAGCAGATGCATCTAAAGAGCACTTCTTATAGTAAGAGAATAGAGCTCAACTTGCTGAAGTTAAGATACTGGTACAGCTACTATCAAAATAAAAGATTGCTTTGGGTGTGGGTTTATTATTAGAGAAATTATTTCAAGAGTATCTTGACACAAAAACTTCTCTTAAACTTATTTTTATGATAATGCTTGTGTGTTTTACAGATTAGAGTTTTATTCAACATTTTCTGTGTATTTTGCAAGTGGGAAGTAGTATTTAACTGTTAAAAATTTGTATACTTGATCAATATTTGTTACAGTGAGCACTCACTATCAACGTACATTTTTGTTTCTAGATCGCAAGACTCGACAGATCATACATCGCTGGTACAAGTCGCAGATGGTGTGTAGTTTTTCAATTATCAAGAGTGAATAACCATTACAGTATTTAAGAAACATATTTAAAACTTCTATTACTTACATTAATAATTTATGCATGATGAAAACCATTTTTTAGTAAATATGTTGCTAGTGACTTGCTGAACAAAATAGGTTTGTACGTATTACATTCCCAGTGTTAACATTTTGAGCCGAATGTTGTAAATGAAATTCTTTGTTTAAGTTTTGAAATTTGTTTGTGTAATTATTCTCTTTTTCACTTTTTTTTGTTAATTTCTGCATACTTTATAATTTTAAAAACTTTTCATGTATATGTACTGTATTAAAGGATTAGTATGGACATTACTTTACCTCACTCCAATGCCTTTGTTAGTGAATGAACAATTTTTGTATTTGTATGTTATATTTTCACAATTTATAAGTTTTATTATTTTTCCCTGTGATGTGTATGTGATGTTTCTTATTTAGGCACAATTCATAGATTTGGCTTGACATCATTTTAATTCATCTTACTCACCGAATAAAGAGCTGTGCTCTTATTCATTCTTCAAATTTTACTTATATCTGTATAAGACTGAGTAAAACTTAAGTGTTACTTCTATGTTTTGAAATCAAATAGACCAAACTCACCCTTCACGAACCCTTTTTTCAAGATGAAATGGTCATGATTTTCTTTTTCATTTTCTACTTTCAAGCTAAGTATGTTTAGTGTTCCTTGCTTTATTTGTGTATCTTGTATTCCCACTTTTTAATTTAATTATATATATTGTTCTTGACTTACTTGAGTACATTTAATGTTTAATCTTCTAAGTATCATTAACAATCATACAACTTTGATTGAATTCATGTATCCTTCCTCCTGTTTATAACATGCAGTGTCCATGCCACTGAGTATTACTAGTGATCATAACTTATTTGATTCAAAAGATGTATTACACTGTCTTAACATAAATAAACTTTTGGGTTAACTCTACAATGTATTTATCGAATACAAAGTTTCAAGCTCATTTATATGTAATTTTTCATTTTCATTAATCGTGTGTCTGGATATATTTGTTTAATTGATACAGTGTGCCATCTGTTGTACACTTCTCTTTTCATATTCAAATTGTCTCCCACCTAACAAAGATCTCATGCGTAAACTTGAAAACTTGCATTTAATAAACATCTGTGAAGTTATCCCAAAAGTTTAATTTGTTGAGTTTTCCCATGATTAGAAAGTGATGCTCAGAATACTAGAATATTTATATCTGCATTGCATTAAAGTGAGATTACATTTTGCAATTATAATTAATTAATTATTTCTAATATGTTGACTGATTACCTGATCGAAATTCACGATGTTTTAGATAAGTGTATAAAGTAAACAATTTTAGTAAAGTACTTGTAGTGCTTTCACTTCTTTGGAGTTATTTGCTATGCATCATTACTATGCACAGTCAGATTGTTTCTTATTTGTATTACTACTGTATAGTTAGTGTTTTCAAATGCTATTGGGGCAGATGTGGCCTAGTGGTTAGCATAGCAGACAGTGGACCTGAGAGTTCATGGTTCATGTCCTGTTGGTGCAATAAATAAATCTTCCTATACACTTTTGGGCCATGAGTGCATTATAAGAGTGTTGATCAAATCCTTCTATTTGATTTTCTGTTAGAGTAACCTAAGAGTCGATGTCTTTCCTCTAATCTAAAATTTCAAAACTAGGATGACTTTGCACAGATAGCTCTTGTATACCTTTGCACTTATCCTAAACAAAACCAACAACAATCAACTGCTGCTGTGGTTAGATTTTATTTGTGTGAAATGATATTTTAGCATTTGTAAAGTAAATCAATCTTTCTATTAATCAATTTTTACACATTATACATATTCTCTTACCAGGCTGATCAGATATGCTATGCAGTTCTCTGTGTGTTTTCCTACATGGCTGCTGGAAGTGAGCAGCGAAAACATCGACTGAAAGCACCCGTTGAAATTCGCAGGGCCCGTACCACTCCATCAAGTCCTGTCGTGTGGCAGCGAAAATGATTTGTTCCTAACCCCTTCTATTAATAGTGCCACAAGCATGTTTTTTTTTCCTCATTAATCAGCTAACACATATTGATGAGTTTATAATACCAATGATGATGTAAATTGTGCCTTGAATGTGAGTTGGCAAAAAATATGGCAAACAGTGGTGGAAAGACATCAGTCACAATTGTTTATAGTAGAAATTTTCTTTTAGAATATTTTCTAATTAAGACTACTTATATTGTTTTATGATAAACTTTGCAGTTTTGAAAATATGTATAATATACACTGACAATTGTGCATCACCGTATTAAGTAAATGTTAAGATTTCATTACATGTAACTATCTATACAGATAATTGAAATACCTGTTGGACTGAAAGCAAAATCCATATTAATTTATTTTAATGGAAAAAAAAATTAAAGATTAGAACTAGAAACTACTGAGGCTTCCAGTAACTTCTATTTTAAGACATTTACATTTTATGACACACATAATTTGTTTGATTGTATTATGTACACCAGAAGTGTGTGAGCTGTTACATATTGTCTTTAAGTTCCTATTTGCAACTTGATTTTGTAAGGTACACAAACATACATATGTATACTTAAATATTTTCAACATTAAAAATTCAATTTTAATTTAAATGTTTTACCCCAATTTCCAACATAGACACTATCTTAAAATATTTGGTTAACTAAGTATGATTACTTTATTAATGACAAAGAAAGTCCAGATTAGATAAAAATCTGATGTATAAAAATTCAGGTATGTTTAATATCAATTCCAGTTGATTTAAATTCAGTCTTTTCTACAAAAAAAATCATTTATTTGTCAAGAAATTTGAATTTCTAATCACTTCCCCATGGTTTTAGTTTCATGTTTCCAGTAAAAATAAAAGTTTAGTGTTTCCAAGTTTTTCTGATTCATCTCTGGAAACTGTAACAAAATAATTTAGTAAATTCATTCATGTTATGCCTGAATTGTACATATATCTGTGGGAAGCTCTGATGTTAAGGAATTATTCTAAGGAAACTAATGTTAGCTGTAATTATTGAATACATGCAATGTTTACACAAGTTAAGTAATTATAGTGAATGGTAGGATTTCCATTTCTGATGTAAGTACTTAAGATGACAAAAATCAACTTTAGGTGTATATTGAAGTAACTGCCTTTCTGAAACACTTGAAGAGACAAACTAAATTTTACACTCAAAAGTAATCAAGAAAATCTCTAATTTTGAAAAAAAAAATTAATTACTTATTTCTACATTTAGTGACATTTTTTAAAATCAGTATTTGATCTTTTAATGTGAATAAATCCATCTAAAAAATTAAATTATTGTTAGTTTAAAATTTAAATTTCGTGAATTTCATTATTAATGAAAATGAAATCTTAACATTTCCATTCAAGATGAGTTATGTTTTCATTCAGTCAGTTTCACTGACTGTTCTGATAGTTATGTGTTAACTGTACATATTTGGGTTTTTCAGAATTTCTTCAACAGATTCAACTACCTGAACAATTAAATTAACGAATTTTTTTCTTTTCAATTTCCAAGTATGATAATATACTTGTTCCAGTGATGTATTAACAAGCAGCTTAACAGTTATTAATATAAGTGTTTAATCATTCATTCTTTAGTTATAAATTGTTTCATACTTTGTAGGTCTCGTGTAACGACCCTGATGTTTAATCTTTTAGAAAGTCTAGTCCATCAACTTTTTCTAAAATTGCTGTCACATGTGCAGGCGGAAAGAATTAAGAGTTGTATACTAACTCCAAGAATTTCTGACGAAGTTGTTTAGTATCCTTATGCAAATTTCACAGTGATAGTAAATTTGTCTTTTATTGTACATAGCTACATTCAAAGTCTGACAGGCCTATACAGGGCTGTGTTGGTGCAACATGGTAATGTCTATTAAGTCATTAGTTTGAAGACAGAATTATCGTCTGTTAAGTTTATTAACTGATATTGAAAAAGTCAAACTATACTCCTGGGGTATAACTATGCAGTCTTTATAGTTGTTCCCATCTGTAGAATTTAGAACTACTTAGCCTTTCCTATGACCTCAGTAAGTTCTATTTTTTGGTAGTAGAATATGCCTACAGTTAATCTTGTTCTGTAATCAGGTGATTGTACCTTCTGGTTAAAGGGATGCAGCCTCTTTCAGTTTAGAATTGTAGTAAAGGTGAATATTTCTTAAGCTGTGTACTGTATGGTTTTTCATAGGTTCTTATGAAACCAGACAGTAATATATTTTGGATTTTCTTGTAGTTGTTTTTTTTTTTATGGTGGTTATTTTGAATCAGAATTTTTTTTTCACAGATTGCGAGGTATGTCATTCTTTTCTGTATAAGTGTTTTTAAGTGTTTTATATTATTGTGAAAAGAAAGCTTACACATGAAACAAAGGTCACCAATTTTTATTAGTTTAATTTTACAATATTTGTGTTTATTTTTTATAAAACCAATTTAAATTTGTTTATCATGAGATTTTAGAAGTAAATCAGCCATAAAAAGACAGAGAGAAGTAAGTTTGCATAAGCTTTGTCTTCAGAAACAGTCTTTGTTTTATCTGTTGTAGTAAACTGTTATCATATATAACTCGACTGTTTAAATAATTTGTGTTTTGTTGTATTTTAAATGAAAATGATGATTTAAGTATACTTAGAAAAATATTTGTACGTACTGTTAGGTAGCTGTTAGTAAGATCAATTTTTTAAATTGATATAATGTTTTTCAAATGTCACCATAGTTGATCTAGCACACTGTACATTCCTGTCTAGTCCTGAAGTAATCTGCTTATCGTGTCAAATTGTTACATTATAAAGTAACATTCATGCCGAAAATCCATGTTACGAAGCTTTTGATTGTAATGTTACGTTATTACTACAATTTTATTTGCACTGTAGATTGAAAATAGTGCTTTAACCAGAATATCTTACTGAAGGCTGAGGCCTAGTTATTAAACAACGAAGATGTTCAGTTTCATAGTGTGTATAAAATATTTTGATTTCACGTCAGCATATTAGACTCATGTTCGATAAATAGAAAAAGATAAGCATTAGGTTACATGTATATAAATATATATATATATATAAGTGTGTATGTGTGTTTGTAGAACCTTGTGTGTTTATATAGGCTTCACAGATGTTTCCTTTTGAGTGAAAGTGCAAAATAATTTGCACTCATGTACTCATTTGAACAGCTTTACGTGTTGTTTTGTGTACATCGAAGTTTCCACTGCTAGCAGAAACTAACTGCAATAAACCTCTTCAATATTTAAGTGTGGTTTGTATTAATGTGAACATAATTGACACTTGCTTGGTTCTGTTTGGCAGTAGATATTTCATATTTATTTATATGCAACTCATGCTTATATAACTGCTACATTGAAAATAAAAGATAAAACGATCCTAGACCTTGAATTCCTTCAAATGGAGTTGTTTTTGGAGTCATCAAACTAAAATCCAGTTCTGTGGTACTAGCGGTGTACGTTAGCCCATGAAAGATCTGGAACAAGACCACCATCACCCCGTCTCACACCCACACACAGCCTAACCCTACTGATGTTACGTAGGTGAAGTAATACAATGAATTATAACACGAATAAAATAGAAACATGTTTCACACCCACACACACAGCCTAACCCTACTAATGTTACGTAGGTGAAGTAATACAATGAATTATAACACGAATAAAAATAGAAACATGTTTCACACCCACACACAGCCTAACCCTATTAACGTTACGTAGGTGAAGTAATACAATGAATTATAACACGAATAAAATAGAAACGTGTTTCACACCCACACACAGCCTAACCCTACTAACGTTACGTAGGTGAAGTAATACAATGAATTATAACACGAATAAAATTGAAACGTGTTTCACACCCACACGCAGCCTAACCCTACTAACATTACGTAGGTGAAGTAATACAATGAATTATAACACGAATAAATAGAAACATGTTTCCTATTGTTTCGTGTAATGTCAAGTTACGTTTGGAGAGGCTTTTGGTTTGCGGGGGTGGAGCTCAAAGATTGTCGCGGTGGGCGTTTTCAAGGGGTGGGCCTTTCGCAAGTTGCAACTGTGTATTTTGGCGAATAGAAATCGGATCGAGAGATTAATATAAACTATTCTATGTCTATAGTCAGTCATACTCTCCGGTCCCAACTATTCTGTGTCTATAGTCAGGCACACTCTTGGGTCCCAACTATTCTATGTATATAGTTAGGCACACTCTTGGGTCCCAGCTATTCTGTGTCTATAGTCAGGCACACTCTTGGGTTCCAACTATTCTATGTATATAGTCAGGCACACTCTTGGGTCCCAACTATTCTATGTATATAGTCAGGCACACTCTTGGTTCCCAACTATTCTATGTCTATAGTCAGGCACACTCTCGGGTCCCAACTATTCTATGTATATAGTCAGGCACAATCTTGGTTCCCAACTATTCTATGTCTATAGTCAGGCACACTTTTGGGTTCCAACTATTCTATGTCTATAGTCAGGCACACTCTTGGGTTCCCAACTATTCTATGTCTATAGTCAGGCACACTCTTGGGTTCCAACTATTCTATGTCTATAGTCAGGCACACTCTTGGGTCCCAACTATTCTATGTCTATATTCAGTCACACTCTTGAGTCCCAGAAATTGATTTTGTTTTACAGGTTAGCATTTAATGAGTTAGGTCAGTCAGGTGTGCCCCTTCCCCACCTATAGGTGTATCAATAAGTGGTAGATAAGTCACGAGTGTAGGCTGCTGGAAGCAAAAAAAAAAATGTAGTGACATCAACTATGGATTTACGAAACCAACTTTTGAGAGAAAGTTTAATATATTACAACGATGGTTATACATTCATATATGCAAACTTTATTTACCCACATCTTTTTTTTTTTAAGTGACAATTCCACAGTATCGAACTAGCACAGATATCCATTAATTAACTTTGTGCGAAATTCAACAAACAAATTCCAACTCATCTTTCTTTTTTCGAACTCCCTAACCCATCTATGAACTTAAAAGTAACGGATGAAGAATAACAAGACAAATAATAAAGAAAGAAAAAGTATATATTAAAATTTACATGCTGATGAGAACAAGTTACTTTTTTGTAGCTTCTGGGAAATATTGTATGGTAAAAAAAATTGAATTAAAAGAAAGTTTATAACAAATCAAGGTGAATAAGGAGTAAGCACTAATTGCGCTTAAGTTAGCGTTCTATTATCAATATTTCACAACTAAATTTGAATACTTTGTTTTTTATCCTAATTTTCGTGCGCTAAGTATTACGTTCTATATTAATGTTAAACATATGTTCTACTTCGTACTTCACATTATGGTAGCTTGCCCTTTCACACAATAAGTTATCTTTAATACAAGTTCAGTGGAATGGGGTCGGTAATTACATAATGAATAGTGGTAATCTCCTGTCTGCGAACTACAAAAAATATTAATATGTGGAGAAACTTGGGAAGGTATTTCATGGAACGTTACAATCAAGAGAGAGCGGGTAGGCCCTGTGGTAGAGTAATAAATGTCGGAACTGGCAAGATGGCCTTAAATTCATGCGATGTCACGAAATACTTCTTGTACTTTAATTTGTATGTACGTTATAAGAGTGGTAGTCAGTCCCGCGTAAATGTTTGGTAATATGAGGCTGCTGAATTGATTTCTTCCCTCTGATCAGTAGTTCAAAATTAGAGACAACGGCAGATAGCCTTGGTAGCTTTTCGATAAAGACGAGTCACAGCATTTTGGTAGCCGCAATAATACCCATAAAATCATCATTTATAAAACGGCCTAAAACAGTATTGTAGAATGTTATTCTGTGAGAAAATCCCCTGTTTAGCAAACCTATATGATCGATCTTAGGATATGACAAATTAAATGCTAAAGTATGAACTTCAATATATCACTTTCGAACGTCATAGCTAATGGGAAAAAATAAAGAATATACAAGCTAATATGAACAGCTTAATGTATTGTTATATGTGTATGATGTATTGATAATACAGGCACTCAATTATAAAACAAATTGATCAATGCCTCAGTGGAGGGTGTAGATCAAAGGCTGCCGCCCAGTGAGGTATACTTTGATGAAGGGAAGTCAAGTGATCTGTAAAATCATAGTCGTTAGTCCCACAGGATGGATAGTTCTACAGAGTGCTAAAACAATGCACCGGAAGGATCTCTAACAATAACACGCTGATGTATAACAATAGAAACCCTACTTAGGACAAACGGGGCGAAGGTACGAGAAGGATATGATCCTTACAGCTAAACAG